TCAGTTAAATATTTGTTAAAATGGGTCCCCAAGTTTTATCAGCTCTTTGGTGATATGCACTTCTTGAAATGATTTTCATTTTGGTCTTATCAATATATATATATATATATATATATATATATATATATATATATATATATATATATATATATATATATATATATATATATATATATATATATATATATATATATATATATATATATATATATATATATATATATATATATATATATATATATATATATATATATATATATGTATATATATATATATATGTATATATATATATATATATATATATATATATATATATATATATATATATATATATATATATATATATATATATATATATATATATATATATATATATATATACATATTTCCACATAAGCATATAAGTTGGTAAACTCCCGGATTTGAGTTCCCAGGTAGTTTTGTTTTATTGTTGTGTTATATCTAATTTAAAGTGGGAGCCAAAGTAAATATAACTTTGATATTTTGTTTTATAAATTCTCTTCGGAGTTTTGGGTCAATAATAGGTATCCAAGGTAGTTCAAAAAACTGTTTATCTAACTGATTAGATGTAGTATTTTGTAAAGCGTGGTCTAAATAGTTGTGGGTTATTTTAATAAGTTATTTTTTGTTATAGCCATTTTCAGAAAAAGTATTTATGAGGAAATCCTGTTCTTGTGAGAGATACTTTTGAGAGCAGATTTGTTTTTCTCTACATAAGAAACCTTTAAAGACGCCAGTGGTTATGCTTGAGTTGATGTTGGAGTTCGGTTTTATTTGAACATTTGTTATCGCATCTTTACGGTGTACTTGAAACTCATAAAATCCATTCATTGTATTTGTAATACAAATAACTAAAAAATTAAGTTGTTTTCTTTCATTTTCAAGTTCAACAGTATATTTTATGGAGGGGTTTTGTTAATTTAAAGTTTTAAGAAACAACTTTTTTTTCTTACTTTTTTTAATTGAAGCGAGCATGGCTATCATCCACATATCTTTTGTAAGTTATTAGTTGGAATGAATCAACAAAAGCTATATTAAGGGCTCTTTTTTTATACTTTGCAAAAATGATAAACCAATTGGATTTGGTAAATTGAGTTTAGTAAAATTCGGCTTTTATCTTCGTATAAAAAATAATATATGTTTAATAAAAGTTCAAAATAACTGGTGTAAATCTATAAGAGTTAATTCAGTCCTAGTTTTTAAATCGTCAAAATCATTGTTCAATATGTTAATCATAATGATTTGCTTCATTGATTGGTACGGATGGATATAAATTAACTAAAACGAATGAAACCTGAATTTCATTAGGGCCTATCTCCCATTCTTTAGCATTGTTGACAAAATATCTTGAATCAATTAGTCAAGTTATGTTTTTATTTAATGTTGGTTGGATTAACCAGATACTAAGATGTTCCATAAGGAGGTGTGTTAATAGTGGAAACAACAGGACGCATTGGGTAGTTTATTTCTGGTTTGTGAGCTTTAACCATTCCATAGATTCTAGGTGGAACGCAATCTCATAAATACATTTTAAAATAAGTAGCAATGTCTAACATACACTGTGTTCTTAATTTACATAATAGTTTTTGAAATTTAGTAGTGAATGTGGATGTTGGGTCGTAATCAATAATTTTAATATTTTTTATTTGTTCTTCTAATTTAACTTTTGCTTCATTTTAGTATAATAAAGCAAAATTTGTTTTTGTTTTTAGATTTTGTAAAGAAAAGCGTTGCTGTTTTGTGGTACTAGCCCATAAAAATTTAAACAGTCAATATAGTTAATTTTGATGCAATATTTGTAAAAAATCAATTATATTAAAAAAGTATTTATAGAAAATATAATAAAAACTTTGAATATAGTCAAAAACATTGAGAGTTAGTAATTTTAACTATATTTTCAAACAGGTATTTTTCCTTAACTAGTCAGAATTTGAGTTTAAAATTTTGCTCAAAGGTTAACAACATGTTAACTAATGGATTTGACCAGAAATCACCAGCATAACATTTATAGTTTCAAAATGGCGGCATGTTAAGTTAATCATTTTAACTTTTATGTTAAATGAGTGCTTTAAACATTAATATCTTGACAACAGCAAGCTATAAAAACCTCATTTCGGTCCAATCCCTTCACAGTAATCAGATAAAAATAGGTGAAAATTTTTTGCCAGTAGTTAAAAATAAATTTTTGTTTAAAGTTGAAAAAAAACGTTTAGAGAGAAAACGTAAAAAAAAAAATATAAACAATAAATATCCTTAAAATTTCAAGACACATATGAGTCATCCTGACAAAATCCTTTTCTTTTTTGCATATTTTTCTTCATCAATTTTGTAACTTCTCTTTTTTTTTTTTCCATATGAATGATGCAATTTTTATCTTTTTTAATTGCGCCAATAAGGAAATATTTTTCCCTAAGAAATCCAAGCTTCTGCAGTGTTTCTTAATGTGAAACATAACCTTAATTAAAAGATATAACTTCTGAGAAAACAGATATTTCTAAAATATTTTTTGAATTAAAATGAGCTTTCGAGTTTTTTTCCCAAATTATTTGGTTAAAGGACTTATTAGGATTTTGTGTATAGTTATGTAAACATTTTGATAAAAGTTCGTCAGAACTGACTTCCATGAATATTGGATGCAATCTGTTTTTGATAGTAAGAGGCAAATTTAACTTGTTTTTATAAGTGTGTTCTCCTATTATTCTATCACTTTGCCATTTGCACCAGATGTATTGGTTTTAGGACAAAATTGATAGCGAGTAGAGGAATCACCTTCACAACAGTGCTATAAACAGCAAGCACAGCCTTTTTCAAAGGGTGCAGTTTGTCGTTCTGACGAATCGCTATACCAAAATAATTCTGCATTAAATTAATACTTGCATCATCTTTTCTTTTTTTTTTTTGTGGCACCTAAGTTTTGAAGTCTTGTTCCAAGTCTCTTTTGAACAAGACAGAGACACTCTAGTTTCTATAGTATCAACGTTTTTCCATAAGGTCTTGCTTCTTTTAATTTTTTTTATGCTGTGGTGTCACCATCTCCTATATAATGACTATACCCTAAGTTAAACTTAATGAAGAACTAAAAATGGAAAGAGCCCCAGCGGACTCCATAGCACCAGATGATTAATTGTACATTTATGCTTTGTTTTGCAAAGTTTATAATCAGATGATCCTTTTCTTTTTTGACCAAATCTCACAAAATTTACAAAATTTTGACACTACATGATAATCCAATACCTTTTTTTTAACCTTCGAAATTGCAGATAGAACACCGTTGAGGGAAGAATGGCCTCTTTTTGCCATGTTCCATCAACAGAAATATTTTTACATCTAAAAGTACATCTAAATCAGACATGTTTACTTGTACTAAACATGTCTGATTTAGATGTACTTTCATGAGAAATATTTTGTTTCTCTGACATTGTATGTTGGTTTCCATGAAAATACTTTCTTTTTAATCTTTTAGTATTTTTTTTATTTTTTATCTGAAAATAAAGCATTTAAATATAAAAAATAAACTAAACAATTCAATAAAATAATCAAAACATCATTGTTAAAATCTCTACTTTATCACTATTTATTTCATTTTAAACACCAACAATGGAGTTCAAATAATTGCAAAGTTGATGTAAAGCAAAGGAGATATAAATAAATTATTATAAAAAGTAAAAGTTACATGAAATTTATTAAAAATTAGGTCAAAAAGTAAGCATTGCTTCTTGTTGCTATGGGCTACTTTTTAAGATTGTATTTACAAGTTGACATTTTATATCACTAAATAACTCATAAACATTGTAAAAGTATACATTTTTGAAATCTACAAAGATTCTATTTTTCAAATTTGAAAAAATATTTTTTTTGAAAATTTTGACATTTTATGGACTAATTCCACCTTAAATTATCTTTTATTTTTAATTTTAAAAAATTGATTAAAATTTTTAAACAGTTTTGTCAAAGAATGCCTGCCTGTGTTTGTTTATTTAGTTGTTCGAGTTCTAAGGCGCAAGTTTCAATATCAGTGATTATGTCCATATAAGGGATGTTCTTTTGTAATAGGACAAATTTTGGACCAAGATTAAGTTTGCTAGTTGCTTTATCCAGAATAATATTTGTTAAATTTAGTATGGCTGGTTTTAAAATTCGGTTAGGATAATTTTTTCAAAATTTTTTTTTTTAATTTTATTTTGTAATGTTTTATTATTAACTGATGACGCTGGCCACAATAGGTCAGCGAAATATCGTTAATGTATTATTATATCAAATATATGTATATATATATATATATATATATATATATATATATATATATATATATATATATATATATTTAAATTAAATAATATTTTTTTACAAATAGTTTATATAACAACCAGCGTATCTTACGTAGTATGGTAAGGCGTACCTTAGTAAATGACAGAATAACTCATCTACAATGTATTCCATTTGTAATTTTGCTTTGTAATGTTTAATATGTAATATACCTGTAGTAGAAACTGCTGTTCTTAGTGTTTTTTTTTTTTTTTATTATGTAAGAGTTTTAGGCTATTTTCATTTAGCTATTTAATTTCTTTATTGTTATTTAAAAAAATACATTATTTTTTGTTAAAAACCTTTATTTAATCTTTAGTCTTTATTTCATTATACAAAACATTATCTCTTAATAAATATATTTAGCTAAGTAAACGACAAAAAATTTACGCGTTCTTATAACATTGACAAAAATTGTAAATTAACAATTAATTTAAGTTAACAATTAATTTATAATATGAATAAGAATTCTTATATAAAAATCATATAAAAATTACCAGTTTATATATTTAATTTTTTAAATTTTTATTGAAACAAATATTTTTGAGTAAACAATAAAAAAAAGCACAACATGTTTTTGAATTCATTCAAAAGCATAACATCTTTTTGAATTTTTCTTATAAATTTATGATAAGAATTGTAAAGAATAAAAAATTTAAAGAATAGAAAACTACCTCCTTTAACAACCAAAAGTATAATTATTCCGATATTAAGCATTCCAATATTAGGCATTTCGTATAACATTTTTTGTTTTGCTATTAAAAACAGTATTTATATATCTTTTAAAAACCATTCAATAAAATAATATTGACAACTTAGGTATCAGTAGAAATTTAATACTAAGAAAAAGAGCATATAAATTTTTTTAAAAACATAGGCATAATATAAGTGAATATACGTTTTTTACAAACATAAACATAATATAAGTGAATATACGTTTTTTAGAATTATTGCGAAACTAATTTTTGAATAATTATGATTTCGTTAGAAAAAAGTTAAAATGTTTTTTTGCATATAACAACTAGCTTTAAATATATAAATAAAATCTAATCTAATGTAAGGTTGGGAACTAACTTGGTAAATCAGATTTTCCAAAACATGATTTAACAAGTTATTTAGCTTCATACAGTAAGGTATAAGATCGGAAGTAAGCCAACCTGAATATATTTTATGTATGTTTCTATTATGTTATTTTGAATAAAAATCAAGTTGACTTCAGGGTTGCTAGTTGCAGCACAACAAAAACATTAACACTTTATATAAAAAATTTCAGCAGGAAGTATTTTATAACAGTAAGTAATAACTTTTATTTTCGTAATGGAAAGACTAAAGTGATAATAGGGTTTTACCAACAACAATAAATAAAATAGTTCAACTAATTCTGGTAGATTATGAAACATGGTACAAAAATATCTATCCTTTGAACTAAAGAATTAGTCTTTTTTAAGAAAATCTAATAATAAAAATACCAAATTAAACATATAAAACTAATTCAAAGAAAAAAAAACTATTGTTTTACAAGCTTATTAAACGAAAAAAGGAAGGCTGATAATAATTTTTTTTATTATTTGTTATTTTAAAATTTTGTTCTGACTTAAAAAAAATATTTTTTTATTATTTGGACAAATCAAATATTTAAGTTGTTTTTTAAATTTTAACGTTACTAACTTATTTATTATAAAATAATTGATTATAAAATTAAGTTAATTACAAAATATTTAATAAGTTAGTAACGTTATAGTAACGTTAGTGACGTTGTTTTTAAAGAGCAACCCTTTGCAAAGAGACAGATCTAAAAAAAATGAGGTTTGGTTGAATTAAAAATAAAGAAAATAATAAAAATAATTAACTCTTTAAATATAAATTGTTGGAAAAATTATTTTTGTATTAGTCTAGTCAACCACTTTTAGTCTACAAGACAACTTTTTTTAATTTAAGTTATCAATGCGCCAAAAACCCCCTGCTAATTCCCCATAAGTTTGAAACTTATCGATTGTTTAAAAATAATACTCGCTCTTTTGTTACTGCGATTACTCAAAATTTATTGCGTAAAAGCAAAAAACGAGGAAGGAGATTAATTTACATCAATATTTATCAAGTTTAGTAAATTCTAAATGATATTAGATAAGATTTTTATAATAATTAATGTTAACCAGCGTTGTAAACCAAATTCAAAAAATTGTTTCAAAACCGATTTTAAATTGTAATTATTTTGTAAGAGATAATATTTCGATATTTTTATACTTTGATATTTTTAACTAAAATAGTTATGATTTTTTAGTTCAACAATTAACATAAATATAAACAGCTAATTAACTTTGCTATTGTTTATTTATAACCATGCAGCAGAGTTTTCAAAAGTTTTTTTTATTGAGATTTTCTTTTAAATAAACTTAGATTCTAAATATCTTAAAATGTTAATTTATTATTTCAACTTTAAATGCATTAAATGTCTTGTTAAAAGTATTATGAATTATATCGTAGTAAAGTGGAATGCGAAAGTGTAATGTAAAGCTTTTGCTTTAAAAATGCTATGAAAATTTAAAAACTGTGATGAAATATAAGCTTAGCATCAAAGTTTGTTTACTTTGACAATAAACCCTATAGGCATTTTTTTTTTCAAAAGTTACGTTCAAATGTCTTTTAAACGTTTTTTAAACGTTTTTTAAACGTTCTTTACGTAAGAATGTTAAGAAAACGTTTAATACATTTAGAACGTAACTTTTAAAAACAAATGCCCGAAGGGAATGTTAAAGGTTGACTGCGTTGTTGGAATTTTATTTTGGCATTCATTTGATAAAATTAAATAAATGCTAGTATAATAGTATTAAAAAACTCTTTTTGCTATTATTTTATTAAGTTTAGCGCAACGCTATAATAAGTTGCTTATTTTATTCCTGTATAATTACAATTTGTTGAAAAGTTGAGATTTTGTGTTAGGATTTTTAGATTTAATATATTTTTTGTAGAGCTGGTTTTTAATTTTAATTTTGGCCTAAAATTGACTGCAGAACTCAATTAGCTATGCAAGCTTGACTTCAGAACTCAATTAGCTATGCAAGCTTGACTTTAGAACTCTATTAGCGATGCAAGGTATAATTACTAATAATTCTGAAGAGTTCTAAAAGTTTTATATTAAAAAAGATTGACATCATTATCATTTATAAAATGAAACTCCTACTCAATATTAGTAATATTGTGAATAAATTCATTAAAATTCTTAAGCAATTGTGTAGTAGTTATGAACTTTGTTGTTTTAAAAGCAGTACTAGGAATGCAATTAAACCATGTGATGTGATCAGAAATTGATATTGTTAAGTTGCCAAAAATAAGATTAGGAATTTGAAAAATTATAAAAATGTTACCAATAGTTGTTTTAGATTTACAAGTTATTCGCGTTGGTTGAACTTTTGTTACGAAAGAGTAAGAACATAGTGAGTCAAGGAAATCAGAAATAATAATAGTTTCATAGAAGTTTTGTAAGTCCATATTAAAATTGCCCATTAGCATAACCGGTTTATTTTTAGAATCAAATTTTTCAAGTAAAGAATTAAAATGATCAGAAATAAATTCCTTTGGGTTTATTGAAGGATGCCGGTATTTACAGCCAATGATAATATATTTCTTAAAAAGGACTGATGGTTTTAATAAATACAGATTCTAAATATTATGGAGGACATACTATAAGATCACTTCAAATATTTTAGTTTAGGTTGGATTGTAAGTATAGAAAAGCATCCCTTTTTTTAGCTTTAGTGAAACATTGTTCGGTATTATAGCCATTTATACTTATGCCAGTTATAATGGGTTTTTATTTTTGTATTTTAGTTTTGAGGACCTTTTTTTTATTATTATTATTAGGAAGCCAGTCGGTTGTAATATAGTTTATATATTACATAATATTTATGATAACAAATAATATTTTATTATGATAAATTGTATTATTTAATATTACATAATAGTTATTATATATAGTTTATATTATATTATAATAGTTCCTATTATATATTATATTATGTTAGAATAGTTATAATAAATATAAACAAAACGTTTTTTGATCTACTGATGCTTTGTCCATTCAAACAGCGCTAGTTCATTTACAAAACTCAAAACCTTTGGGTGAGGTCCGACATCATGTTATTTACCTTTTTTTTTTCGATTTAATTTCCATTTTTAGGATTCATTTTTGCGATACATTTAAATAATAACTAGATAAGATTAACAAATCATTATTTACAGTAAAAAAAAGAAAAGAATGTTATGTTGAAAATAGTTAAAAATTGTATGTAAAGTAAGCATGTAGAGCGTAGGGTTGCAGTAATCAGGATGTAGTGGTATAGAAGTAAGTGTATGTTAAAAGTAGATAAAGTTAGGAGCATTTTTGAAAAAAAAGAGAAATTTTGTGGAAAAGTTTTGAAGTTCCCTGGAAAAGCTGCCAGCTAAAATCCATGATTTTAGCTGGCAGCTTTTCCAGGGAACTTCAAAACTTTCCCATTGCTTTCCCACGAACTTCAAATGTACCTACATCTTCTAGTGCTATGCTTTCTAGCATAGCACTAGAAGATGTAGGTACATTTGAAGTTCGTGGTTGAGTTGAAACCAAAACCAAAGCATGAACCTGAAAAAAATTTTCAATAGTGTTATTTCATTTTAAAAGTTACAATCAAAATTATTCAATATAATGTAAATTATATAAATACAAACAAATAATTAAATAATAGTTTAACAATTATAAACATCAAATTCTCTCAAAAACCATAATTATAAATAGTATAAATAGAGATCAGATTACGAGCATAATATTTAAGAGAGCTTATTTGAAAAGTTTACACTACAAAAAGGTAAATATAAAAATACATTTAATATACTATTTTACTTAATATAAACCTTCTTTCCATGCATTTACCCTCCTCCGGCTAATTGCCATATAGATGCTAGATACTTAGGCCCACGAAGACAAGCTCAGCTCAATAAAGTGCATCATAACCTCTTCCCAGACCAAGAGTAAGTGATTTTTAGAAGAATGATGAATATTAGAAAGAAAGTCAGAAGAAGTTGAGTTAGTTAGTTGGCATTGAGGCAGCTGACAGTATTGCACTAAGGTGTTAGAATGTGCAACTTATGTTCAATATCAAGTTCACTTGATAGGAACCCTTGTTACGTTTAATGTTTAACATAATTTACGTAAATTTTAATTATATATATATATATATATATATATATATATATATATATATATATATATATATATATATATATATATATATATATATATATATATATATATATATATACATATATATATATATATATATATATATATATATATATATATATATATATATATATATATATAATATATATATATATATATATATATATATATATATATATATATATATATATATATATATATATATATATATATATACATATATGTATATATATATATATATATATATATATATATATATATATATATATATATATATATATATATATATATATATATATATATATATATGTATATATTTATCAAAAAATATAAATATATATTATATATATTAGGGCCCTGCGAAGCTTTGAAATTTCGATGCTTTGCAGGGCTCTAATATATATATAAATATATATATATACACACACACACACACATATATATATATATATATATATATATATATATATATATATATATATATATATATATATATATATATATATATATATATATATATATATATATATATATATATATACATATATATGTATATATATACAAGGGCAGTTCAAAGGCGGAA